TGTTTAAATACTTGATTTATTTTTTGTTTTACTTGTTTCTGGAACTTCATTGATTGAAATATTTAGAAGAAGAATGATTTAGCATTTTTTTTTCTGGCGAGAGCAGGAAGTGACACTAAAAAAAGAAGTCGTGAGATTTGCTTATACAGAAAATGTTGAGCGCTTTGAGCAACCACTTAAATAGATTTTTATTTCGAAATAAACAACGAGTGGTATAAGTTTTTTGATATAGAACAGTCCTAGGGGTGAGAGATTAAAATTCGGACTTTACTTTTTGCACCACATGCTTTTGGACCACCCTAATGTATATGCATGATTGCATGAACATTGGTGAGGCTCGTGCACTTTTCCATTCGTGCTCGTGCCATTGTTTTTGCGCAGCGCTGGCTGTTTCTGCTCCCTCCCACCGCTACAGCTGGTGGGGCTGTGTGTGGTTTTGCTTGTGTTTATCTACAATGACGCCCCCCATTTCTTTATCGCTGCTGCATCGACGACTCATTGACATCGCTTTTCATCGTCAATGGATGTCGTATTGCTCACTCAGCCAAAGCTGCTGCTGCTCTTGCTGCTCCTTCTTCTGCTGTCGCTGCTGCTGCTGCTGCTGCTGCTGCTGAGCATTTTGCAGTTCGTCTATTGTGTGGTCGACGTTATGGCCTCAGTTCATTCGGAATTGTTGAGGTGTTTACACGTGTTTTGATTTAACTTGCTGCGTTGTTCTTTAGCGGAGAGTTAAAATAATGGGCAATCGGTTATGCGCGCTCTATACAACTCCAGCTCTTACTCATTCCGCAGCACAAAACGCATTGCCACCCCTTTAGGCCGGCCTAAAACGTTGAATATTGTCGATGGTGGTGATGGTGCATCGCATAGTGTGACCAGAGCAACAATAACAACAATAAGAGCAATCAAACAACCCCTAGTAATATTTGTGTTTTTATTTATTTGCTCGATGGCTTAGTTTCACATCGTGAACTGTGTACGAAAACACGTTGGCTTCTTGAAAATCGTGAAATTCGCACTCATCGCAAATTTGTCTATGCAGTACCGTACAAGGCTGGGGTAGGCCAAGGTGAGGCATTAAAATTTCGCGTGAAGTGAATTTTTTTTTTTTGGAAAAACATAATATAAATCGTAGTAAAATTATTATTGTGAAAATAAAAAAATAGAACAAGTGTTCAAGCTTACATAAAAATCCATTCAAACAGATAAAAGTGTTGTATTTTTCTTCAATTATTGCTTAACAGCTGTGTTGTTTCAATGAATAATAAGTGTCATATCTATAAACTATAGGTAAACCGTATTATCTGATGATATACTCGTATTAAGAATAGCAAATAAATAAATGTATTTATGCAAGTGTTGAAGTGCTCAAATCACAGTTCTTATAAGTAAGTAAATAGAAGTGTATGTGAAACACCACGAATACATAAAGAAAAGCAGTGTCTACGTAAGTAAGTGTGTCTACACTATGTACATACATATGTATATAATGTGTATCTACATATGTATGTACATATGCGACAGGCTAGTGGTTGCATCCTGTGAGTGCATTATGCGAATTTTCTAGTGTATTCATGCGACTCTCACTAAAATGTGTGCATGTGTGTGACTTCAAGGACATTTGGGTAATTTATAGCCAAATTTCGACATATCATGCATATACATTAGGGTGCCTCACCGAAAAAAATTGCGGTTTTTCCACAGGATTTATAAACTTTATTTATTTTATTTTATGACTTACGCCAAAATATTTCGAAAAAATAATAAGATTTACGAGAGCCGGACCGATTTGAAAATACCTCAAGGAACCTCATTATTTTAATGCCGTTGATGCAATTTTTAAACATTTTTATGCAGATCTTCTAATCTTAAACTCCCGTATCATCTGCGGTGATTAGTTGAAAAAAAATATTTTTAAAACTAATTTTATTTATGAAA